AATCAAAATAAAAGATGAGTCTTGTATGTGCTCCATCTTCTCAAAAGCTTCATCGGTACCTGTCTACTGATGACCTGAGAATACAAGTTATTTTGAAAGAGTTTATCAGCATAAAGCTGGTGAGTTCATAAGTATTTAGTGTCATTTCTTGTATGAAAATGTTTGTAACAACTTAATGTAGTGACTGATTTCAAACGTTTGTAAATAGTATACTTCCTAGAAAATCCTATATTTTCCAGTAAAAATGTAGTCTTCTACCAAGACCCGATTGTTTGTATGTTTGTTCTTTCGTAATAGTAAGAGTTTTCCCCAGTGAAACTATCAGTATGAAAATATAGTTTTAGACTTCACTCATGAAAGGTGATTACAAAATAAGTGTATTAAGGGAAAATAATGTTTTTCCTCAGCAGTGACACTGCTGGTCATAAAGTGATAAAGTACAGACTCCAGGTAGTACTAAATGAACAATACGCCTCGGAGAGTCTATTTTGCCTTTAATTCTTAATTGGTTAATTAAAGGTTTGAATGTGAACTCGTATGTAACCATGATGATCGACGGCTGAATAACTGATGACCCTCCAGGTCATGTGTAGTGAGGTAACATTCTGTCACCCCTTGGCCTTTCGGCTGGGACTGTAGCTAGCAGTCGGGATGTGGGAGTGTCTGTCCCATATAGATCTATACACATAATGCCCGCTCTCCCTCCAGGAGACTCTGGTTACAAAGTGATACCACGATGAAGTGTCGTATCGAGAAGTAGTATGTCACATTCGGTTTATAGTATTCAAAAAAGGTTGTATAGTATGTCATAGTGTAGTGATGTTTTCTCTTTACTAGTATATAGTATGTTTCTGTATAGTGTATAGTATGTTCTCTTGTATAGTGTATAGTATGTTTTGTTTCTCACTGTAGTACTCATGTAGCGACTCGTAAATGTACCGACTCTTGTATGTATCTTTGTAATAGTAGTAGCGAGTAGTAATCCCTTAACTATACCTATTATAGTTAAATAGTAATGTGGTTTGTATGCCTTCGTTACACAAAGGCATTGAACTGAAGTGAAAGCTTTTATATCCAACACATATGTATATGATATATAACTAAGAGTTCAATGACATTCGGACAAATAACAGGATACCCTAAGTCCACAACCAAACAAGGAACAGGAAATAAGGTGAGTTATCAGTCCTAAGTCCTTCAAGTCTTGCTTATATAAATATATTAGTGTAGATATGAGTTTGAAAACAATGCAAGTTTAAAAGAGTTTGGAAACAATTTTAGTATCTAAAAGTTTAATAAAAGGATTTAAAATGCTTGAAAACCATAATTTTGATAGTAACTTAAAAGTAGTAGTAAATCTTTCTGTTTGTTCTAGTCATTAATCACATGTGATTAAAGCAATAACTAGAATATTTCAACTTGTATTCCCCCCCATAAAAGCATTTAAAATCATTTCAAAGGTTGATTAATGGGTATGAACTCACCTGAAAATGAGTGATGAGAATGTAAGATCGGAAAAGGATGCTAAGTGTCAAGTGAAATCCTGAGCACACGTACGGATCCTATTTAGCATATAATGACATGTATATGCATCTGATTAGTGTTTAGACAACCAGTTAAGCAAGTAGGGACACCCTAGGACATGGAAAACACCTTGCTTCAAGTGTTAGAAGCACATAGGGTTTCACCTAAGGGTTGTTGGGCCTCTTATTGGATTTTACGGCCCAAATGGTAAAGCCCATGAGTTTACGGCCCATGGTGTTTACGGCCCATGGTGTTTACTTTGTAAACTCATGTCTTCATGCTTCATTTTTGTATGTTTAAGGTCCTACAAGTTTCCAGGAAGGGTTCTAGACTAAAGACCAAGCCTTATGAAGAAGTTAGGGACCATATGCACACAACATTAGGGTTTACGGCCAAGGGAGATTGCCTTGGCCGTAAACTCTCTTCTGGGCACGATTTCTTGGTGTTCAAATAGTGTTTCTAGTATATAACAAGCTAGGGGGTAGTGTACTTACGTAGTAGAAGCTTGAGAGAGTGGTTAGAACCCAAAACACTAGTGTGTGTTCTTGGTGTTCTTGGTGAAATGAAGAACACTTGAAGATCTACCCAAAAGAAGAGATTTCATGGATGAAATCAAGGGTGAATCAAGAAGAAATATGTATTAACTCGTTTATGGAAGGATTCACTTACCGGTTTGAAGATTTGGAGCAAAAAAATTCAAGATCCTTGAGAGAGAATTCGAGTTCTAGGCTTGGAGAAGTGAAAAATGGCTGAAAAATGACTAAGGGTCGAATATATATGAGGGAGTTTACAGCCAGCCTGAGTTTACGGCCGTAAAACCATGACCTTGGCCATAAACTCCTCTTTTGAGGGTTTATGGCAAGGTTGATGGTTTACAACCCCTATTGGCACTTCCATTCACTTATTCCCTTAATGTACTAAGCCCGGAATGTTCAAACGGTCTCTAATTAGTGCTAAAAGTTAGTAGAAACGAGTCTAACTTTTGATTGGATTGAATGGTGTGTACAAGATTGAAATTTCGGGTTGTCACAATATGAAATTCACATCTTTTGTCCACAAAAGGGATCCTTTCACAAAATGGCGTCCAATGTTCCAACTTCTTCTAATGCAGCAAATTCGTCAAATGCGCCAGCTGCAACAAATGGTACATCTACATGGACGACAATAGAGGTGTTGGTCCTAACACAAAGCTGTATTACCGTTTACGAGGGTCTACCAGTATTGGATCCCCCTCATTGCCTTGTTGGTGATGAATGGTCCAGCCTAATAGCTTTGTTTAATCATGAGGTGGGATAAGGACAAGAGCGGCTAAAACCCGAGATTGTTAGTAAATGGATGGATTTAAAGACTAAAGTCGCATGGTTCAATCGATGCTACAATTATGAGAAAATGTGACGCTCTCATGCAGACGATGAAGAACTTTTTGAAGACGTGAACGGATATTACTTGTGCGAGTTTGATGGAAATGATTCGAGTATACGGACGTTTGGAATCTCGTTAAAAATAAACATTTTTTCATGTAGACGACTCTTTTATTTGTAATGTTTTATGTTATATGTAATGTTTTTTTTTCTGTTATTTGTTAGTAAATGGATGGATTTAATGTTTTTTTTGTTTGAATGTATCGTAATATTTGTTGGTGCATTATGTTTCAAAAATTAAAGGATAAATAACATAATAAAAATGCAAATAAAAACTCAACCATATTACATATAAATAAAGTCATACAACCGCAATACAAAACGCAATACTAGTTAAAAATACGGGAGATTTTTCAAAATATTCCAAGGGGCTTCATAATCAAAAATCTCTCCATTGCTAATGGATTTGTATTCTTCTTTAGCCGCCTCCACGATGTCTTCCTCAATATCATTCACATGTGTGCCATCAATCTTCTTATAAAGATCGTTGAATAACACAACTTCTGTTTTCAATTCATAACATTTTGCTGCTATATCAAGCGTGCTGCGATGGTTTTCTAAGGTGGTTTCAGCGTCAGTGTTGAAGGTATTGGCTAAAATGACCCAAAACATTGTATCATCCAAACTGCTGTTCTCGTAGACATTAATATATATGCACGAGTTAGAAGCAAATACTCCTCAGTGGTTCATGGGTTTGAAGCAATTGTAAAAGATACAAAGTAGATGAAGTGATATAGATTAGATGAAATGATACACATTTTTTAGTCATTTTATAGTGAAATGACAGTCCGAAAAAGTGACTTGGCAGTCCATGAAACAAATATAATAACAAAAATAAATAAAACACATATTTGTATTAAACAAAATTACTAAAAACAGGTATTTCGTATTAATATATACAAAGCTCCTAAAATCAAGTTATATAGTATCCCAAATAATATTTGCCATCCTATTTCTGTAGAGAAATCCCGCATCTCTACGTAGCTTAACAATCTTCACCTGTACCCCTGAAACAATCATTTCCATAAATATGCATACGAATACTCCACAATCCCCTCTATCTTCAATATATTCCTGATGTGGCGCGTCTATAGTATCAACAAACTGAATAGTTGCCTTGGCTTTGTGTCCATCGGGGAAATCGTTCCAGTAGTCAATCACATCTAGCTCTGAGATAATACTATCCTTAAAACTTGTGAATTCTCCACCAGTCAAGTACTTTGAGAAGAAATTCATAGATCATGCTGAATCATAAATGTGTACTTTCCAGGTATTTAAATGTAGCACTGCCAAAAACCAATGGACACCAAGAACATTTATAGGGAATAGAACCTGCAAAAAAAATTAAATACTCGTAAATTTAGTAATATTATATATATAAATAAATAATTATTAATGTATACTTTCCAGGTATTTAAATGTAGCACTAACCAATCCACATCCTTCCATTTAGGATAGCCTCCAACACCATTTGCTACATTCCTAAAAAAATGATTTTTTCCAGGTTGCAAATTGAGTTCTTGAGGGTATATCGTCCACCTTGTGTTCGTCGGCCGTCTTTCCATGAGCAAGGCACTCCATATCGCAATATGTTGTACATTTTAAGATAAAAATGTTACAACTATTTATATAAATTATCGTCTAAAAAATAGTTAAAATTTAACGAATGTTATTGAAGAAATTAACTACCCAGAGTCAGTAACTGCAAGTAACCTTGACCAAAACTCCACATCCAGTGGGAGTATATGCAGCTTGTGTTTAGTGTTGAGGTTGGAAGATATCATATTCCATTCTTTCCAAAAACCCAACATACTACTAGCATAAAGACTGTCTAATAGGAGATGATTTGAAACATCATTACTCTGTTCATTCACAATGTCTTCAATTGCTTTTTCAGGACTCTCCACGCCTTTTTTCCTTGGTTTGGTGATTTTCTTCACTTTTGGTGTGGATTGCATCTAAAACATTAAATTGTTAAATAATTATCAATAACGTAATATTTTATAAATACACCAAATTAAAATATGAGTTTTGTACCACTGTGAACGGCGTCCGCTAATACCATGGAACACCTCGTTTTCGTTGCGGCCTAACAATAGGAGTCACTGTTTTTTTCTGATGTTCACCCATGTCCGGTGACGGCTCAACATTCGTAGGTGTACGCCCAACTTCCCCCTCCAAACCATGAGTAGATATATCATCATAGTCCAACTGTGTACCATGGTAATCTGTTTCTTCCTCCTCTTCATTTACCATGTCCTCCTCCTCTCCAAACCCTGTATATGGTTCATCTTTTTTCTGTAATACACGGTCTACTTTAGAAAATAATTCAGCCATAACGCCTAGTAGACGCTTCACTAATGCCTTTGTGCTCGTCTTCTTCTTCTTTACCGACCTTATTGATGTGTCGCTTGACATATAAGTTCTTTCTACTTCAGGATGTTGCGAGGAATAAGCATTTGTGGCAGATTCAGTCGAAGATGTTTCCGACTTGTACTTCTTTCTTCGAGGAGGCAAGGCAACAATAGGTGGAATCTGTTGCCGTGGGGGAGACTCTTCATGGGTAAGAATTACATGGCGAATATAAAACAGCAACATGAGCTCCGTCGCGTTTTCCACGACAGAAATAGGTTGGTTGTTAGGCTGCAAAAATAAGATTCTTAGTTTAACATGAAAAAAACATTGGAATTTGTAATTATATCTAATCCTTAATATAATATAAAAAGCATACCAAAGACACGTTGATTATTCGACGACGTTGAAGCCAAGATAACAGTGTTTTACTTCTCCACGACCTCATCCGTGACAATTCTGTCGGCGTGCGTATATAAAACTGGGGTACCTCTGGGAACGTCTCCAAATCCATATCTATGGAAAAAAAAAGGTAAGTATCATGCTATTATAGTATAAAAATGAAAGTAGAACGATATTATATACTACAAACCGAAGTACAATGTTATTATCGTATAAAAAATAAAAGTATGATAACTATTTAAATGCATTAGAAACTAACCTTGAACGGAAGCATAAAACCGGCAACGGTATACTTGTGTACTTTCTTGGATTCGGGATTGGTCTGCTTGAATATTCTAAAATTTTCAATTTTCTCAAACATTCAACACATCAACCCCGAAGTATAGGTCCAGAAATACGTACCCTATGCAAACCTGAATTTTTCAATTTATTTATTCTGCTAACTATCCCTATTGATGGTCTTGGCCAACATATGTCTCATGTGGAGTACTGAACTATCCTTCGCTACCGCCTCATGATTCCCCTATTCCTAATTGACGAGATATGCCCAGTTTGCCGCAAGGCATGTTTGGATACCTTTGGTGAACACGCGGTTCATTGTAGAGAGCTCCCTGGTTTCAAGTACAGACATGATGTGGTTCGAGATGTTCTCTTTGATGCTTGTCGGCGTACTGGTATTTCTGTGAAGAAAGAAGCGCCAATGAAGTTTTTGACGGACCCGCAAGATGGAAGGTCCACACTTAGACCGGCTGACATTTTGGTCTTTGGATGGATAGGAGGGAAGCATGCGTGCATGGATCTTACTGGGGTCTCTCCTCTCGTTGGTTTGGGAAGCGGGGGTTTCACAGCAGGGCATGCCGCTTTGAAAGCCGATGCGTGCAAAGTGGTAAAGCACGAGAATGCATGTATAGAAAATCAACATGTGTAACCTTTTGCATTCGATACATTTGGTTTTCTCGCACCAGAGGCGGTGGAGCTCCTCAATAGAGTCCAACGGGTCATGCATTCTAATGTCATATCTCCTAGATCCAAAAATGTTGTTTTCAAAAGAATTGGTTTTGCCATCCAGAAAGGGCTAGCGGTGCAGCTTATTGCCCGTTTGCCTTCAATCGATATGTATTAAACTATTATAATTAATATGTAATGAAAGAAACACTTTATTATAATTAGGTATTATTGTATTTATACACAATCTTTAAATGTAATACCTGTTCCAATCATCTATATTATCAGCAAGCTTGTATACTGTCGCGTGAATGCCCGTTTTAACGTCCCGTCCATGGAGACCTTGCAACATAAAAACAAGCTGGATAAGCATTACAACATCTTCATCTTGAAGTGACAAATAATTCAGAGACATAATGTAGTCTTCTAAATCTTTCAGCATCAAAACTTGCATCAGAAATGTCTGGGAACAACCGAGCACAAAGATTTGAATTTGACCGGCCTTTTTCGTCATGTAGTAAATCCACATAAGGACCAACTCTTAAACCACAAATCAAAATATATTTAGTTTCACCAAAATCCAACTGTATCTCCTGTATCTCAAAAAGAAACCTCCCCATTTCAAACACTTGTTGAGAGCTTACTTCATGCAATATCATCAAATGCACAAGTAAGGGGTTACCATGGGGGACATGCATTCCTAAGAATCTTCCAAACGGCGAAGCTTCAAATAATACTCGTTGCGATTGTGTTAGACGTGGAAAATAGTCTTTAATAATCGTACCCACCATGCCTTTTAAAGTTAAATCTGCTTTTTGATTGAGATTATCGTGCTACAAAACATATACATTTAATTTCATATAAAAGGTTAGTAATTGAAAATAAAAAACAAGGTTTTCAAAATTACTTTCTAATTCGGTTTATGAAATAAATAGCAATGCACTTTTTATATAATAATAAATAGTTCATATAAAAGGACAGAAAAAAGGTGAAAAAAGCCATTTTAGGTCGTTCCGTGGAGGCTACAGGTCATTCCGTGGAGACCTCTCTACGGAGTGGCCTAAAGCTCCGCGGAGAATCATTTTTGGTCGTTTAATTCAATCCGCGGAGGCAATACATCAATCCGCGGAGGACCCTCTACGGAATGACGTACATCTCCGCGGAATGGATCTTCCCAAAATTCGAATGGCCTATTAATCCTAACATATACCAAATCAAAATCTGTATATATTCACGGTAATCAATTCGATTTTCGTAACATTTAAATCATATATATATATATATATATATATATATATACACACACACACACACATACAATACGACATTAATCAAAAGAGGGGAATGTGAGAAATACCCGGGTGTCGTATCCATCGGTGAAAATATTGGGGAAATTGCCCTCCATTGGTGCAAGCTTTCGCCGGAAAATGACATCGTTTGATGTCGTTGTCGCCGAATTTGAAGTTGTCGCCGAAAAAAAATCGTGTTTGAAGTCGTCACGGATAGAAGGTTGAAGTCGAAGAGGAATCGGGGGGCAATGGGGGACCAAAGAGGGGACCATTTTGTCAAAGAGGAGAGGGGTGAAATTACGAAAATACCCCCTGTCCGTGGAGATTTCTTCGTTCTACAGAGCCTAGGGTTGTGAATGGGTCGGTTTGGGTCGGTTTTGGACCCCAACCCAACCCAACCCGTAAATGATCGGTTTCTGGTTTTCAGAACCCAATAGGATCGGTTTCTCGGTTTCTGATATCGGTTTGGGCGGTTTCTTGGGTTTAACCCATACACTTACGGTTTCTGGGTTTAAACCCATTTTCCAGAAATGGAGCAATAAGTTATATAATTCAAAAAACACCTAATTGAAGTTAAATACTTCAAAACACATGAGTTTTACAACCAAATTGTCTATTACAACCAAACACACAATCAAACTAAAACACAAAGTCCGAAATTGTCGATTAGACGATTACAACCAAACACACAATCAAACTAAAACACAAAGTCCGTAATAGTAAAATAGTCGATTACAACCAAAACATGCAAACACGAATCTTCAGTCCACATCCATGTAAATCTCTTCACCAATTCCCCATTCATCTACAAACCAAAAAACATTAGTATTGATCAATGATTATTGAGTAATAAACTTGTGTAAAAGTATAAAATTATAATAATTGAGTTACAAACCTTTAAAATTCAAGTAAAATCCTCATCCATGCAACTCCCTTGACCACACCCCAATTCCTTTACAAACACAAAACAATAGTATGTAATTAATTAATTATAAACAAACCCAAGATACTCTATGACCACCACCCTTATTATCTGCAACTTTTTCATTATCTCCTTCATCAACATCAAGATCAACATCAACAATTTGTGGAGCATCAACATCAACAGTTTGTGCATCTAGTTGAGACCTTTCCATCTACATAGAAAAAAAACAATCAACAATCCATATGTAAACCAAAAGATTTCAGGAAATAAGAAGCTTCAATTCAACAATCTATATGCAAACCATAAGATTCACAGCTTTCAAAATAATATTACAATATTTCAACAATATTTATCTACATTTCACAGCAAGATTTCAAGCAAAATCTAACAAAAACCCTTGATTATTTTGATAGCAGTAAAAATAATAAGATTAATAACAATAAACTGAATAATGATGATAATAATAATAATAATAATAATAATAATAACAAAAGGAAACTGATAAAGTAAATGTACCAAGCAATAAACATTTTGGAACCACATTTGCAGTTTCCTCTAAACAAAATGCAATGCATCAAATTGATACAAAATCTATGGCCACAAACCACCATGATTATTGTATCGCTGAACACACATATCTTGATGATTTACCAACAATTTCTAGAATTCTTAAATGCTTGGAACTCCAAGACACAAAAAAACGAACATAAATCAGAAAAAAACGAACCAAACAGCAACTCAACAAGTGAAATTCAGAACATAAACACAACATTCTACATGAAATCATAAAAATTACGAAGAACATAAACATGAAATCAGAAAGAAAAAAAACGAATCAAATTACACAAAACTAAACGAGGAACGAACTGTATTTGACGATTCAGAGGCGTTGCAGGTCTTGTTGGTGGCGCCGGAGGTTTGGGGTTCCGTTACTGGTCTGTGTGTCAACTGTCGATTATCGTCGGAGGCTCGGAGCCTCAGATGTGTGCGAGCGGCTGAGCGTCGGAGATCCTTGACTCTTCAGTGGGATGCGGGAATGCGAGTAGGGCAAAACGAAAACAGGTTCAAAATGAGTAAATGACCTAGGCTTCTTTTATTTATTTTTATTTTTTTAATATACATATATATAAAAAATAAAATAATCAGTAAAAAGCATCGAGTTTGCGGTTTTATTGGGTCGGTTTCTCGGTTTTTAAAGAGGGGTCAGTTTCTCGGGTTGGGTGGGTCGGTTTCTGGGTACAAACCGAAACCGAACCCGAAAACTCGATTTTTACAAATTTAAAACCTTAACCGTCGGTTTTGATTCGGTTTCGGTTTTTTCGGTTTCAGTTTCGTCGGTTTCTCGGTTTCTTGGTTCGGGTTTGCTCATCCCTAGCGGAGCCCCATAGAGGCTCCTCCGCGGAATGCGTGACTATACCCGGAAAAGTGATTTTTTGACTAAACTTTGAAATTTCCCCCCAACAAATGATTTATAGCCCGTATTTTCATAAGCCTGCCCAAAATTAATACGTATATATAATATTTAAAAAAAAAAGATCTAGGACCAAAAGCTTCAAATCACAAACAATTATGGTAAAAGTCGGAAACGGTAAAAATTTACTACTCATTTTGCTTTCTAAGCCTATTTATATAACTTGAGCCTGTTGCCTCGATTCAATTTCAATCAATCAACCAGAAAAACAATGGAGACAGAGACGACCTGCAACAATCTACCAAACTTTGTATCTTCATTCGTCGACACTTTTGTTGACTTCTGCGTCGGCGGTATATTCTTGCCGGAACCTCCGTCTCCTCCGGTTTTCCAAACTTCATTCCCTTCCCCTGAACGCCTAATAGCAATCGGTGACCTACATGGCGACCTTCTCAAATCCAAGCAAGCCCTCCGTCTCGCCGGTCTCATCGACTCCAACGACCGCTGGTCTGGTGGGTCATCTACCCTTGTCCAGGTCGGCGACGTCCTTGACCGCGGCGGTCAGGAGCTGAAAATCCTCTACTTCCTGGAGAAACTTAAACGGCAGGCTGTTAAATCGGGCGGCAATGTGATCACCATGAACGGGAACCATGAAATCATGAACGTGGATGGCGATTTCAGGTACGTGACCTTGTCTGGACTAGAAGAATTTACGAATTGGGCTGATTGGTTTTGTATCGGTAACAACATGAAGAGTTTGTGTGATGGATTAGAAAAACCTAGAGATTTGTACGAAGGGATTCCATTAAGCTTTCCTCGTGTGAAACAGGAGTACGTCAAGGGTTTTAGATCTCGGATCGCTGCATTGAGGCCTCAAGGTCCAGTGGCAACCAGGTTTCTATCAAAGAATTTGACTGTAGTGGTGGTGGGCGAATCTGTGTTCGTTCATGGGGGAATTTTGCCTGACCATGTTGTTTACGGGTTGGACAGAATCAACGAAGAGGTTAGGGATTGGATTAGTGGATTGAAAGAGAAGGTAGCTTCCAGTCTGGTGAGGGGTAGGAATTCTCTTGTTTGGTTGAGGAAATTTTCTAACGAGGTAGCTAAGGATTGTGATTGTAGCATGCTTGAGCACGTTCTTTCAACGATTCCAGGTGCTCGGAGGATGATCATGGGGCATACTATTCAAGAAGCTGGTATCAATGGAGCCTGCGATAACAGAGCAATAAGGATTGACGTCGGTATGTCTCGAGGCTGCATCAATGGGTTGCCGGAGGTGCTAGAGATTAACGAGAATTCAGGGGTGAGAATGAGAATTTTAACAGCAAATCCAAATCCGAATCCAATGTATCACAATAATAATCATGATTCTGGGGGCAAGGAAAGTATTGGTTTTTTTATCCCTCAGCAAGTGGAAGTGGAAGTTGAGGCTTAAATCAACACACCACACCACATTTGTTTGTTTCTAGTGTTAGAGGATTCCAGTTACTATTCCAATTTCCAAACAAGTAATGAATGGAATTTATTTAGATTGGAGCTTCCTTAAATAGTTGATACTTTATTTTGTCCAACTCTCTTTTATAACCCAATAAATATAAATCCATTATTAGTATGCCAAATACAAAAAATAACAATAATATCATTATTATCTATTATAGCATTCTAGTACAATTCTTTTCTTATTAAAGCGTTATACTTTTAAAAAATCTATCCAATTATAACATTCTACTTATACCTTTAACAGTGAAATTGCTTTGTGTTTAGTTGATGTTGCTATAATTGGTAGAATTTTCAAAGTACAAGTATGAATAATAACTGAAAGTAGGATGCTTTGAATAAACAAATAAATGTTTTTTCATTTAGCTCTTATTATTTATTATTCATGATGATTGAACAAGATATCAGAAACACTAGGAAGTAGGAATGAATTGAAAACAGGAGGAAAATCCAGAACCCACGGCCAATTATGTTCCCTGGCAGCCCATAAACATATGTGATTGTTTTTTCCCATATCATAAAGCGCTGTATGGATAAAGTCTGCATGAATATGCTAAGTTTAAGGTTGAATGAACCATCTGGCTACAGGTGGTGTTTCTAATGGAGAACAAACACTGTTACATTTTCTATAATCCAAGCACCCGACCAAAATAAATAACATTAAGGAGCATGTTCCAAACTGAAGTGTCTTTTTATTACCACACATCAATACATACATACATACACCCGTGTTAAAAGTAACAACATATAGATATAAAAAAAACACAAGAAATGAAATGATAAAAAGTAAAAATCACACAAATCTGTTAAATGGCTTCCTCCCGATGGAAAATGAAGAATCCACACTGAAATCCCCTACAGACCCTGGAGACTTACGGGATCCTCCTCTGGTGCTTGGAGTTGCAGGGAAAGAAAACCTCCTTTGAGATGAGACCGACATGGAGATGCTGCCCGGAGTGCCTGGCATCCTATCTTTAGGATTACTTGTTGGTCTTGCTTTAGCTTTGGCTGAAAGTGTAGGACTCATGTAGTTTGGGACTGAAAATGGTGGGCAGCTCATCAAGCTATCATCATCCTTCACTGGATAAGGAGAACCTCCTCTTGCTCTTGGTTTGGAAAATTTCATCATTCTTGATGGTGGAGGAGGAGTCATCTGTTGTCTTGTTCTTGAAGGAGCCATGGACCTTGTTGATGGTGATGATGATGATGATGATGGTCTAATCGCTTGCTTCTGCCGCCCAAGGCTTGACTGAGGACTTGGTGTCGTCAGTTGATGATTCTCTACAGCAGATTGGCTATTCAAAGGCAGTTGACGCTCTAACCAGTTCCACCACCATGGGTATCCCATTAGAGTGTTTTGTGCTGATTTCGGTGCAGCTTTCCACAACTAAAGGAAGATTATTAGAATTTAGAGACCCAAATATTTTTCATTCATTCTCATTGTATAGAGGGTCAATGGTCAATGTTCATGGATTGGAATGCAACATAAAGCCATAAATAAACATGTTGTTGGTAGATTTATTATTGTCTGAATATGAGAGGTTCAGAGTAGCTGCTACCTCTACCTGGTGGGAATTTGCATATGCCATGGCTCTTTCTCGCTTATTCAATGCCTCCACTTTTCTGTGCAACCTTGCTTCTCTTTCCTCTTTTGTAATCAAGCTAGCATCCCAATCTTCATCACCCATCTCCAACTACATAGAATTTCCAAAATAAACAATTTTGCAGGAAAAAAAAACATGCATATAGGGAGCGCGAGACCTCTCATTCTAAACTAAATTGGTGTCAAAACAATATTACAGCAAAACCTACTACATGGTCATTAGGAACCAAGTTGTGTAGCAAAATCAATTGGCCATGATCACACACACACACACACACTAAAACAGGTAAAAAAAAAAGCAAGCATATTAGGAACCAAGTTGTGTAGCAAAATCAATTGGCCATGATCACGCACACACACACTAAAACAGGTAAAAAAAAAAAGCAAGCATGGCAGTTGACAGACAAAGGCAATCAATCTTATTCTTACTTGGTTCTTGCCAACCCATGACGCTGAGGCTGAGGCTGAGGCCTTTTGTGCTTGGCATTTGAGTGCTTGTTTTTCTATTGTTTGCATTCTACGTGACTGAATCTGTGTTTGAAGCCTAACCAAGAGCTGCATCTGTTTCATGGCATTGACTGTCTGTCGCTTCACATGTTGACCTCTTACCACTCCCTGAAGCCTCACAAGACCTGTCAAACCTCTAAGCTTTCTCCTTTCCTGCATTATGTACAAATGAACTAGGGGTGAGCAAAAACCGCACCGCAACTAAAATTAACCGCATAAACCGCAACCGATAAACCGCAACCGCAATAAAAACCGATGGTGAGGTTTTCTGTTTTTCAAAAACCGCAAATTTGTGGTGCGGTGCGGTTATTAGTTTTCAAAAACCGCAAAAAACCGCACCGCACCGCATATATTATATACAATTTTTTTAATTAATTATTAATATATTAAATATTAAAAATAAGACAAGTTTCATGGATGAAAGATGGATAAAATACTAGAAGACAAAACTATTGGTTTTTTGTTATGTTTAACTTTGAAAAATGGTGAAATTAGACAATTTAAGATATTTCTTGTTAATTACTATTAATTTCACATTTTTAAGATATTAGTTGTTTGTGATTTAAGTTAATTGTCTTATACTTTATGGTTATTTTTTATTATTACAAGTAATATGTTTGAACACTTAAAACCGTTTGAGCTCTAAACTATGGTTAAAAAGCACACAAAATAACCACACCAAATTCATGTGGTTAATAATCGCAAAACAGAAAAAACAAAACCGCACCGCAAAAATAACCGCCTAACCGCACCGGAAAAATAACCGCACCAAGCGGTTTTGAAAATGGATTAACCGCTTTTGCGGTTAGTGGTGAGGTTTTGGCTAATAACCGCACCGAACCGCACCGCGCTCACCCGTGGTACAAATCATAATCATAAATGGTCCAACTTCTCAGCAGTCGGAGACTAGAGTATGAGAGTTTCGATTTCACATGAGCTCTTTTGCAGAAACAATGATGTTGAAATGCTTACCATGTAACCTCTATAAGCAGCCTGGATCCTTGTTGCAGAAAGGTGCCGTTGTTGTAGAGTTGGTTCTGGTCTGTCACTAATAATTTTTGTTTGTTGATGAGCAACTCTAGGAGGAGGAGGAGGAGGAGGAGGAGAGGTGGCCCTTGGGCTTGGAGGAGGAGGAGGAGATTGAGGCCTTCCAGTTTGTTGTGTTTCTGATGATTGCTGGGAAAGAGTAGGAGGATGAGGATGAGCCATAAATAAATTCTGTTGGTCAACTTCCCCCAAGATTTTCTCAATACTGCTTGGCTCTCTGAAAAGGGGAATGAATGATCTGTTCCCACCTCCATGTTTCTTCAAACTTTTCTTCTCAGCCTCCTGCAACACCATTTCTTACAACGTAAGAACAATAGAATTTTTAATTAAAATCCCACAGCCCAAAATACTACTTACATTCACTGGCTTCTTCTGTTTGGAGTTTGATGATGTACAAAACCTCTTGATTGCAGAAAACCAACTCCCTCTCTTTCCCATGTTCCTAGCATTAGTTTATTTATTACCCACCAGACCCTGTAATGTAAAGCCCCAAGGAAGATAAACCGATCAACTTTTTCCCAACATGCCAAATATGAAGCCTAATACAATACTACAAGAGGAATGCAAAACCCCTCTCTCTCTCTCTCTCTCTCTCCCCAAACCATATTTTAGAATTCCATGAGATGCATGATTACGCAATCAGTACAGGAGTTGAATCACCAGGTTAGGTTATAGAAACACTAAGATCGTGGATCCAACCAATCGAATTAGTGGAATTTTGCTAGGGTTCAATGATAGAAACACCTAAACGAAGAGGTAATATATATGTAATCTAGGTTGAACTTTCCTCAAAACGTAAAATATGAAACCAATTATCTAATCGCACAACACACAAAGCAATTTCAGAATTTCTCACCTTAATTCGGAAGAATTCTCTGTTCAATTACCCGTGGGGTGGGTTTTTTTCATGCGATTTGTCCCAGACAGGAAGGATTTTCAGTTTGAACTGTGTTCGTGTTGTGTTGGGATCTTTGAGAAGAAGAAAGACTTTGTTTGTTGGGCACCACCACCACCTTTTTAAGGTGGGATGACTAATTCTTGTTTACGAAATTGAAAAAGAAAGGAAGGGTTTTAGAATTTGTTGTGCTGTTCAACCAACTTTACTACTATTTTTTTTCTTTATTTAACAACCGTTTCGGTGTCTGAATTTGCATTAGTGGTATTCATCATCATCAACTACCATTATTGTTACTTTGCGTGCGGGGTCACGGTTTCTCTCTCACCCCGACGGCGGCGCGTGGAAAAACGGAAAGAACGTGGGGGCCACAAACGTCTTTCTAAGCACTGGTGGAGCCATAATAAAAATTAAAGAAATTATCAAAATAGATATTAATTTTGTAGGTGATATATACGTAAAATCACAAAAACGATTCGTTTTATGAATATAAAAACCTTATAGTATTTTTTTTTCCATTTCATGAAAAAATAAAAGCTCAAAATTCTCTAAAAAACACTTTCAAACACATAACTTTTAGTGTTGATCATATGAATATAATAACCTTATTTTTTTCCATTTGATGAAAAAATAAAAGCTCAAAATTCTCTAAAAAAACACTTTCAAACACATAACTTTTAGTGTTGATCATAAACACCGATCCTTTTTTCAAATATTATAACATACCGAGTCTGACTATTTACTGACTACAGAGATAAGCATCGGATCGAATTCAGACCGAGAACCGATTTATTGAGAAATGGAGAACCGAAAAACGGATTGAATAACCCGGTTTCAGTTCCGGTTCAGTTCTAGAAGTAAGTGTGCTTTTTAGGATGTGTTTGGCCCGAATCGATAACCGATTTAATGAAAAATTGAGAACAAAGAACCAGACTGGATACCCCGGTTCGGTTCTGATTTTGTTTTGTTTTTTTTTTCCGACTGGGTCAAATGCATGCCCTACTAATTGCCAAGAATATGAATTTTTTTTTAGAGAAATGATGTCCGTCAAATCTTTTTTTTATAAATTATAACGTTTCAAAAGTAAAACTATTAAAAAAAACATGATTTTTTTTCTTATATTCACGGTACACATTGCGAATTGCAGGTTTAGTAATACAAATGTCAGATTCATCATACAAAAAAAATATAGGATTCTGTCATAAATTCTCTAATTTAGCCAAATGTATCTTTAATTTTACAAATACTAGCTAGAAATCCTTTTTTTATATCATATGCAAAAAAAAAAGTTCTTACTATTTTTAAAAGATTTCTCATACCTCATTTAAAAAATTCTTACACCTCAGTTGCATCATTTGAAAACTCTTTTGTCCCCACTCCCTTCCTTAGTCCACCTTTCCCACCCGCTCTAGTACACTCTCTCATCCCACAATACATAAATTCATATTTCTCATCTTTCCCACCTCTCGTAACCCATTTAATTTTTATTTTTTATAAATTAAACATTTATTACTAATGTAAAACTAAAAATTTAAAGAAAAAAAAAACATTTTTTTGATTAAAAATAAACTTGTACAAATAGAAAAACAAAAAGATAAAACAACATTTAAAAAAAAGACACGATAATTAAAATTCTTAAACTCCTAAAATAAAATTTTAAAACTCTCAACCATGTTTTGTTGCAATTTGTCGTTTCCTCTCAATCATCATTCACAGAATACATCCGGTCAAATGATCATGCAGACTGAGAAAAAAATGCATATATTGGACCTGTATCTCTCGCTCCAATAGTTGAACTTTCCATTATTTGGTTTCTCGTATAAGACATAATTTTTCATTTTGGTATCGTTTTCTCTTTTTTGCCTCCGATTTGCTTACAGTATGGATGTCGGCAATTTCATTGACGATATCAACTATTTTCTTTGGTTTTGAGGATACCGATGTCGTTTCCTTTCATTTCCATTGTCTTTGAGGTGGTGACTTAACAACATAAAACACTTCTTATTTTTTGCCGAATCTAGTTGAAAATTATGCATTTGAAGATGTTGTGTAAGCGGCAAGATGTTTTTCTTCATTCTTATGAAAAAGGCGGGGGAGTCTTCATCGGATATTTTTATGTACAACCATTTCGCGTGGGTTTTTAGAAAATCCCAAGCTTTTTCATGGAAAAGCTTTGGTGTAAATAAGTCTCAGATACTCGCTTTGTGTGGATTTTAAAATATCAACCTTAGATCTCCTGTTAGCCAGACTGTACAGCTTACAATTGTAGATATTGAAATTGTTACATTTCTTTTGCAGATCTTTCCATTTGAATTCATTTGGTGCATTGTCCAATATGAACATCCAATTTGAACATTAAAATGATATAGAATCCACTCCGAAAATACCTATGACCGTTGTTGATTTCTGCATTCCTTATCTCTAAAAGCTGTTGGAAATGATGTCCAAAGCCATTAACTGTTTGATAATATTTCTAATAATGGTATGGTCCTTTAGGTTGGTTTCATAACAAAATTAGGTATAAGGAAATGGAGAAAAATAAGTTATTAATTTATTAAGTAATTAATAAATTAATTGGAAATTATTTTGGAATTAATTAAATAGTTTTAGTTAATAAAATGGCTTGAATATTAATTAATTCCTAGAAATTAGTTGGAATAATCCAGAAGCTCCTGGAAGAGTATAGGGACGGTTTTGATATCTTAGGATAGGGACAAGACAAGTTTTGAATAAGATAAAGATACATTCTAAGAGTATGAATCCCTTGAGGATTTATTTGTTGCCTTTAAATAGACTGTTAGGATTAAAAATGTAACCACCAGAAAATTGTGACTTAGCAAAAGTACCAAAAAATGTAAATGTTATTTGTAACACTCGTTTTCCAAAATGGATCGGTTGAAGACTTAATAGGATCAAAGATGAGGATTTTTGGGAAAACCTTATGCGACAACGTGGTGTGTTGATGACCACGACGTAGCATGACATTTAAGTGAAAAGCGTGTCCGGATGGACACCACGACATTGCAAAGGGAAGCCACAACGTGGTGGCTGTTGCAGCCCAAGCCCACGAAATTTAGGGGTTTCTCCATATTTAAAGTCTCCAACTCTTGGTCTAGGTCATTTCCTTTAGCCTCCATTATCCTAACTAGAAAACCCTATCCCCCAGTTGATTGTTCTTGATGTTCATGCAATGATTTTGATGTTTGAGGCCTTAGAGTACATATTGGGAGAATAAAGTGGTGTGCTTGTTTGTTGAAAGGGTGCATATACTTCATATCTTGTATCTCCTGCATCTTGTGGAGCTTTGGAAGGTATAAAGCTTCCACCTTTACCATTCTTGTTTCTCATTTCATGCTTTGAAGTCCTTTGAAGGGATGTTTTTGGAGTTTGGGCAACTCTAGAACCTTAGACTTGTTTGGTGATTATTGTATGAAAGGCCATGAGGGAGCCCATGGCAATTACAGGTGTGTTATAAGACTACGGTTCGATCGTAGCATTCACTTGAGTTGAAATAGACCCGTTGGCTGAAATAGGCCGTTACAAGAGTGTTTGTAACATCCCAAAATTTAAGACCAAAAATTTCATTTTTAAGTTAAAGATTTATAAAACACATTTACTGAAAATGCTACCAGTGTTATCTCATATCATAAAAACTATAAGTCAAATATCTCTCAAAACATATCATAATAAAATAATGTCAGAGTACAAGTCCCAAGAGTCTCATGTGCGGAAAATCGAGTGTGTGATGTGTTGTGGTCATGCCGGCTCATTTCCCTTCGAAGTAGAGGTACCTGAAACCAAAACTGTAAACCGTAAGCACGAAGCTTAGTGAGTTCCCCATCATACCACATACCATACAATACACATACTGCATAGCATATCCGAGTGCTAGCCTACCCCTTCGGTCTCTTTCAACCGGTAACCACCTAGCATATCAGGGTGTTGGCCTACCCCTTCGGTCTCTTTCAACCGGTAATTGGCTAGCATATCAGGGTGCTGGCCTACCCCTTCGGCCCTTTCGACCGGTATCAGAGACTATTTCACCCCCTACTACTACCATATATCATGCTAATACATAAACACGTAAATCACATACTGCTTAGCATATCAGGGTGTTGGCCTACCCCTTCGGTCCTTTCGACCGGTAACGGGGTCTGTCCTACCCCTCCTACCATTATCACATAATATCATAACATACTAGCACATAAAGCATAATAGATAGTGGCATACCAGACAATTATCACAAAGACAATCATCTCTACTATATCTCCTGCTAGTGGGCCGACAATGGTGCCTTAGACCCACTTATACTGGAAGGTAACTCACCTCCAATGTCGTGAAGTAGCTGAACTGTCCTCGGCTCTAGAATCAACTCCACTCCTACACATAAAATCTCCTTTAATTACCCTTCCATACTCATGACCCCTTAAGAGTCAACTATGGTCAAAGTCCAAGTCAAAGTCAACCTTTTTGGTTGACTCAACTCGTCGAGTTAGTATATCAACTCGCTGAGTCCCATAAATCATAAATCTCTTAAATCGCGATCCAAATCATCGAGTTCTTGCACGAACTCGTCGAGTTTCTCCTATCAACAGAATCGGGGCATTTCACTACAACTCGTCCAGTTCCTCCTTGAGCTCATCGAGTTCTTCAATCTTCAAAACCCAAAAACCATGCCAACTCATTGAGTCATCTCCTAGACTCGCCGAGTTTGCTTAATAACAGAAAAGGTTGGGGGACCACGATCCAACTCGCCGAGTTGGATGAACAACTCGTCGAGTTCCCTTTACTCTAAATCCATTCAGTCACTTCCAATCGAGTTCAATGCTTCCAAACCATATATATGGTCCTCAAGGACTAAGTTACCACGTAAAGTTGCTAACTTTACGTCCATGCATGGTGTCATGAAGCTAGAAACACCAAAACTAAGCTATATAAGAGATCTAGGGCATGGAGAAGGGCCAGGGCTTGATAAAGCTGGCACTTTAAGCCTCATAAGCTCATTAGTGCCTAGATCTGAAGTCACAACTTCATGATATACTCAAATGTAACAACGTAAATTTCAAAACAATTTTTCACTTTTAAAGATATAATTTCATTCATAAATATTTTCAAATCTCAATGTATCACATATCAAATCCATAAAAACACATCCCAAGATCAAAATGTATAAAACTCTAATAGTGTGTACTGATCATGCCGGCGCCTTCCCGCGATCCTCATTGGTACCTGAAACACATAACACAAAAC